TGGTGCAATTATGGCTCACCGCAGCCTCAACCTCCTGGGTTCAAGTGATCCTCCTGCCTCAGCCTCCCAGGTAGCTGGAACTACAGTCATGAGTCAGCTAATCACCACTATTTAGCATGTCACAAAACTCCCTGAGAAGCACCATTTTCAGAGCTTATGTTTAATTAAACTATCTGATAGCTGACTTTGTGTGAATACCCCATCCACTATCTTCAGGTGTAAGCTAGGAATTCCTGTCGGGCTGTGTTGCACAGAAGTGATGGCAGTGGGCAATTCTCTCCTGTTTTGGTTTTACAAGGTATGCATCTAAGATTTCTCCCCTAGGAATAATGTGTGCAGTGGATTTCAGACAGACCCACAGCTAGTATAATACTGAATGATAGAGACCTTTCTTAAATGCTTTTACATTTTTTCTCATGAATAGGTTGTTGCATTTTTAACATGGTTTATGCTTTAAATGCAGTGGTAACATACATTTCTTTTTCTTCTTCCTTCTCCTTCTCCTTCTCCTTCTCCTTCTCCTTCTTCTTCTTTTTTGTTAATATAGTGTGCCAGCCATGAACTTACTGGCCGTCAGGTACAAATTCACCGTATTGTTTTTGAGACAGGGTTTGCCTCTGTCGCCCAAGGGGGAGTACAGTGGCACGATCTCGGCTCATGGCAACCTCTGCCTCCCAGGTTCAAGTGATCCTCCCACGTCAACTTTCCGAGTAGTTGGGGCCACAGGTGCGCGCCACCACTCCCAGCCAATTTTTGTGTTTTTCTTTTTGTTTTTGGTTGATTGGCTCTTTTGTACAGTCAGGGTCTGACTATGTTACCCAGGCGATTTCATCCTGCTGTGTGAGAAAGTTCTGCGTTCCTCTCCCTATGTAGCTGTGCAGTTGTTACTGAAGGCCGACTGTAGAGGGCGCCAGAGTCAGCGAATGGGAGAACAGGGCTTCCTGGTTCTCCTGGCTGGCTCCTGCGGTCCTACAAAGTAGGAGGCTTCACCTCCGGACTCTGGCGCCCCCAACGCGTTCCCAGTGTTCAGCTGGGGCAGGACAAGTGGTGACCTGCAGCTTCCTTTCCATCCCCCTTGGGCTGTAAGCGATCAGTGCTTCTGGTGAGACGCATCCCATGCACATCATTCACAGGTACCCTAGGGGGCACATTTCCCCACAACTCTCAGTTTTCTAGAAAGTTCCGCCAGGGTCTGACTATGTTTGTACAGCCAGGATCTGACTATGGTTTGCCTCTGTCGCCCAAGGGGGAGTGCAGTGGCACTTTTCGCTGCCATTTTGTGAGGTCCCACCTCCGCTCCTCTGGCAAGGTCAGGACTTAAGGACTGTGAGTGTGGTAGTTTTTCTCTGGATGTTTTAATTTCACCCCCAAAAGTGTCTTTTCTGGGGTGCACTGCATTGGGTGTCAGGTGTGTCCTATGGCTCCCATCGTGATGTGGTTCTGCTCTGGAGACACCACCGTGGGTGCCTGTGTCAGCCGTGGGGGAGCGTTTTCCTTGGGCACGTTGTCTCGGATATGTTGTGGGGCCATAGGGCTTTTCTTGGGGGCTCCCTCTCGGTGATGTGAGGCACTTTTCCTGCTGAAATGACCTGAGCCCGAGGGTGGGGACCCTGCCTTGGTTGCCTGTGTCAGACTCGGGTTCGGGGGTGTTTCTTCCCCGTTGGGTCACAGCCCTGAGTGGGGACTCTGCCTTGGGGACTCTGTCTGGCTCAGGAGCTAGGGTGGGGCTTCCTGTTCTCTGGATGCATGATCGTTGCCCTGTGGGGTTACTCTCCGTCGGGGCTTTATCTCAGCCCGAAAGGGAGTCTTCCTTGGGTGCTCATGTCGGCCGTGGGGCACATTTGTCCTTGGATGTCGCTCGTTCTCAGCTAGGATGTGTTCGCTTTTCTTTGGATCTGTTTATCCCTGATGTGGACGCTTACTGGATGCTTTCTCTTGGTGCTGGCTTTTAAAATAATATTATCTGTGGGTTCTCTCTCCTGGTGCCATGGGACGGTGGGGTGCAGTTCTTTGGATTCTCTAAGCCTATGGTGGGACTTGGGGAGCTCTGTGTCAGTCATGAGGGAGGCCACCCGAACTTGGGAGTTCTGTCTTGCCCTAGGGTGGGGTGCTTTTTCTCGGTGGGTTGATCTCAGTCTTGAAGGAGCTCTTCGGGGTTCTGTCTGACCTTTGGGCCGTGGCCTTGGGTGTCTGTGTGGAAATCGGGGTCCAGAAATATTCAAAGGTACCAGCTGTGCCACTTTCACTCAATCCCTGTACAGTTACTCTTTCATTCCAGCCACTCTGATGGGTGTGCAGTGATCTCTCCTTATGTCTACACTTGCATTTCTCTGCTGATTAATGAGATTGGGCACCATTTTTTTAAAAAAATGGTTTTTATTTATTGATTTTTGTCTTTTGAGATGGGGTCTCACTCTGTCACCCAGGCTGGAGTGCAGTGGCATGATCTCGGCTCACTGCAATCTCAACCTCCCTGGGCTCAATTGATTGTCTTCCCTGAGTCTCCCCAGTAGCTGGGACTATAAGTGCACGCCACCAAGCCCGGCTAATCTTTGTGTTTTTGGTAGAGATGGGGTTTCACCAAGTTGCCCAGGCTGTTCTCCAACTCCCGGGCTCAAGTGATCCACCCCCTTGGCCTCCCAAAGTGCTGGGATCACAGGCATGAGCCACCGCGCCCAGCTATTTATTGATTTTTTTTTTTGAGTACCTTTTTATGTGTTTATTGGTCATTTAACTACAGCTTTTCGGAAGTCCTTTTTCAGATCTTTTCTCCCAAATTTTATTGAGGTGTTTGTATTTTAAAAATGGATTTGTGGTTTACATATATTCTGGATTTCAGTTATACACAGGCATGTATGTACATATATTCAAATATGTATACAATTTTAGCATCTTCTACAAATCTGTTTTGCTTTTACACTATCTTAATAATGTGTTGTAGATGAACAGATTCTCTTAATTTTATTAATCAGTGCATTATTTATGGCTAGTCCTTTTTATTATTTTAAGAAACATCTCTGCCTCACCCAATGCCATGATAATATTCTAAGTATTCTTCTAGATCTCCCATTCATCTCAAATGAATTTTCATGGAATGGAGTAAAGTCAGAGTCCAGGTATATCTGAGGTGTTTATTAGCTATTTGAGTATGACTCTTATGAAGTGCGTATTCAGCTTTTCCCCCCAGATTTTATTGAGATGTTTGCTTTCTAAAAATTGATTTATAGTTCTGGATATATTCTGGATTCCACTCAGTTGTTGTCAGATGTATATACAGATGTGTATATATATGTGTGTGTGTGTGTAATTAATATATATTTATATGTATAACCTATACATATATACTGTATAATATATAATCTACAAATATACTTCATTTTTTCATTGTCTTAATAGTGTCTTTTGAGGAACAGAAGTTTTCCATTTAATTATGTGTAATTCAACAGTTCATTCTTATTTATTTATTTATTTATTTTTGAGACAGAGTTTTGCTCTTGTTGCCCATGCTGGAGTGCAATGGCGCGATCTCAGCTCACTGCAACCTCCGCCTCCCGTGTTCAAGCCATTCTCCTGCCCCAGCTTCCCGATGAGCTGGGATTACAGGCGCCCACCACCACGCCCAGCTAGTTTTATATTTTTGGTAGAGATGGGGTTTCTCCATGTCGGTCAGGCTGGTCTCAAAATCCTGACCTCCAGTGATCTACCCACCTCAGCCTCCCAAAGTGCTGGGATTACAGGTGTAAGCCACCATGCCCGGCAAACAATTCATTCTTTATGGTTAATGTGTTTTTATCCTCGTTAAAAACATCTTTGCCTATTCTATACTTGTGAAGATAATATCTTAAGTGTTTACTAGATTGTCTATTCATCTTCAGTAAAGTTTTTGGAGTGGGGTGAGGTAAGATTCAAGGTTTGTATTATCCCTGCATTTGTCACATTTATCAAGTGCATTTATTAAAAGCACTGTCCTTTCCACAGTGATTTCCAGGAGCTCTCCTGTGGTAAATCTAGCTATTTTGTATTTCCAGATTGTTTCTGGCCTCTGTGTCCTCTTCCCTTGGTGTATTTGCCTGTCATTGCTCCAATATCACACTGTTTTAATCACTCTACCTTTATAGTATATCTCATATTTAATAGTGTATATCTACCAACTGACTTCTATTTCTTTCTTTCTTTCTTTCTTTCTTTTTTTTTTTTTCAGATGGAGTTTTGCTTTTGTTGCCCAGGCTGGAGTGCAATGGTGTGGTCTCGACTCACTGCAAATTCAGCCTCCCAGGTTCAAGCGATTCTCCTGCCTCAGCCTCCCAAGTAGCTGGGATTACAGGAACCTGCCACCATGTCCGGCTAATTTTTATATTTTTAGTAGAGATGGGGTTTCACCATGTTGGCCAGGCTGGTCTTGAACTCCTGACCTCGTGATCCACCCGCCTCGGCCTCCCAAAGTGCTGGGATTTCAGGCATTAGCCACCGCGCCCGGCCACTTCTATTTCTTAAAGATTGTCTTGGGTTTTTCCAAATCTTAAATGTGCATATTCTTTTTAAAGAAAATTATCAGCTTGTCAATTTTCGGATATTTTTGTTTTTACTTGGTGGAATTTTAAGTAACATTGCTATTATCATTCTGGGAGAATTAACAATAAAGCCTCTTAATAATGTCTTCCATTCCATGGAAAGAATATTTATTCTCCATTTACTGTAGTCTTGAATTTCCCTCAGTGATGTTTTATAATTTTTATGTAGTGCTCTAGCACATCTTGATTTGATTTATTCCTAAATATGTTTTTGGTACTGTTATTAATGACATTTGAAATTTCATATTCTAACTATTTGTTGGTGTTAATTATAAAGAAATACCAGTGGCTTTTCTAATATTTAGTAACTTGACTAAATTTGCTTATTAACCGTAAAGATTTTATTCGTTTACATTTTCTAGGGACAGAACAATATCATCTGTGAATAATGACAGTTTTATTTCTTTCCAAATTTTAAACCTATTATATTTTCCTGATGCTACTGCCACTCCCAATGTCTGTGAAGAGAAGATGCAAAATGGCCAACCAGTACCTGATAATGTCTTGTCAATAGTTCTACCAGGGATTATTAATATGGAAGCAGATGGTATTTCATCCCTAAGTACCGGGGATCTGTGTATGTTTGCTTGTAAGTTGGATTGTCCTACTTGGTTTTCACATGCATACATAGTGTCATCAAGGGAAGAAGGTGGGTTTGGTTGTACTTTCTTTCGTGAGCTCAATTTGAGTGGTCTCTTATCGCCACCTGGCACATCCTCTCCTTCTTTATGAAATAATTTCTTAGAAATTGAGCATCAGAGGGATATACCTGTGTGGGATTGATATAATGCACTTACCTCAGAGCTCAACCTCCTCATTTGATTTACAGATACTACAGTCACTCACAATGGCTGTGAAGAGTAGATAAATAATGGCCAACCAGCACCTGATAACCTCTTGTCAGCCATTACACCAGCGCTTATTAATCTGTCAGGAGCTGATATTCCACCCATGAGTACCAGGGATCAATGTATGTTTGTTTACTAGTTGTTTCTACTTGGTTTCTATATGCATGCAGTGTCATAAGTCAAAGAAGGTGGTTTTATCGTATTATCTTTCGTGATCTCAGTTTGAGGGGTCACAGATCGCCACCTGGGGTATCCTTCTGCATTGTGAGATAATGTCCTGAGAACTGAGCATGAAAGGGATACGCCCATGTTGTTGACATAATGCACTTACCCCGCAGCTTGACCTCTTGTTTTGGTTTCTAGATGCTACTGTCACTCACAGTGTCCATGAAGAGAAGATGGAAGATGGCCAACGAGCACCTGATAACATCTTGTCAGCTATTCCACCAGGGCTTATTAATATGGCAGGAGCTGGTATTCCAGCCATGAGTACCCATGATCTATGTATGTTCACTTATGAGTTGGACTGTCCTCCTTGGTTTCCATATGCATGCATAGTGTCATGAAGGGGAGAAGGTGCTTTTGTTGTATTATCTCTTGTGAGCTCAACTTAAGGGTTTTTCAGATCGCCACCTGGCATGTCCTCCTGCTTTGTGCAATAATTTCCTAGAAACTGAGCATCAGAGGGATATACCAGTGGGGATGACATAATGCACTTTCCTCACAGCTCAACCTCTTCATTAGATTTGCAGATGCTACCATCACTCACAATGTCGGTGAAAAGACTATAAAAACAGCCAACCAACACCTGATACCTTGAGGTCCACTGTTCCACCGGGGCTTACTAATTTGGCAGGAGCTGGTATTGCGGCCATGAATCCCAGGGATCTGTGTATGTCTATTTACTAGTTGTACTGTCCTACTTGGTTTCCATATGAATGCGTAGTGTCATAAAGGGAAGAAGGTAGTTTTGTGGTATTATCTTTCGTGAGCTCAATTTGAGATGTCTCAGATCATCAGCTGGCATATCCTCTCCTGTTTTATGAAATAATTTCCTAGAAACATAACATCAGAGGGATATACCTGTCAGGCTGACATAATTCACTTACCTCACAGCTCAACGTGTTCATTTGGTTTCCAGATGCTACCATCACTCACAATGTCCGTGAAGAGAAGATACAGAAAAGCCGACCAGCACCTCATAACTTCTTGTCAGCTGTTGCATCAGGGCTTATTATAATGGCAGGAGCTGGTATTACAGCTATGAGTACCATGGATCTGTACATGTTGGCTTTTAAGTGGTACTGTCCTAACTTTTTTCCATATGCATTCATAGTGTCATCAAGGGAAGAAGGGGGCTTTGTAGTATTATCGTTTCTCCCCTTAATTTTAGGGCTGATTGCCACCTGGTATATCTTAGTTCTTTAAGGGATAATTTCCTAGAAACTGAGCATCAGTGGGATATACCTGTGGGGTTGTCATTATGCATTTACCTCACAGCTCAATCTCTTCAGTTTATTTCCAGATGCCACTGCCACTCACAATGTCCATGAGGAGAAGATGAAAAGGGCCAACAAGCATCTGATAACTCCTTGTCAATGGTTCCACCAGGGCGTATTAATCTGTCAGGAGCTGGTATTTCATCCAGGAGTACCAGGGATCTGTGCATGTTCGTGTATTGGTTGTACTGTCCAACTTGGCCTCTATATGCATGCATAGTGTCATGCAGAGGAGAAGGCAGTTTTGTTGTATTGTCTTTCTTGAGCTTAGGTTGAGGGGTCTCGGATTGCCACCGGCATATCCTCCTGCTTTATGAGATAAGTTTCTAGAAACTGAGCATTAGAGGGATATACCTGTGGGGGTGACATAATGCACTTACCTCACAGCTTAACTTTTTCATTTGGATTCCAGATGCTACTGTCATTCACGACATCCCAGAGGAGGAGATGGAAAATGGTCAAACTCCTCCCGATGACTTCCTGTCCAATTCCGCTCCACCAGAGCTTATAAATATGACAGGAGATCGTATGCCACATAACACATTGGATACTTTCTCTTACGACTTCACTAGTCTCAGCAAAGATGAGCTGCTTTACAAACCTGATAGTAATGAATTTGCTGTAGGCATCAAAAACTACAGTGTCTCTACAGGTGACCCACCAGTCACAGCAATGTCTTCAGTGGAAACTGTGCCAAATACACCACAAATGTCTCCTGCCATGGCAAAGAAAATTAATGACGATATAAAATATCAACTAATGAAAGAAGTTCGAAGGTTCAGGCGAAGTAAGTAGTGCAAGAATGTCTATCAATGAAAGTATGAGAAGTCTCTCATTCTATGATTTAGAACAGAATTTAGCTGCCTCTTGAGCTCATTGTTTGGCTGAATTGGGTCTGTATATAATTTAGCATGGCTTCTCTTTAATTTCACTGAAAATTTCTCATATATCTGATTAAGTGTTTTGTTTTCCTTTGTTAGTTTTCACAATGGTTTCCTTAGTAATATACAGGTGTTATGATTTAAGCATTCAAAACACAAACACTATATAACATTGTAGTCTATGAAAAATGTATACTGTGGTAATGGATGCATTAAGGTTGAGGTGTATTTTATTTTCATAATTGGAGAAATACTAATGTTTTAAAATATCTTCAGATTATGAAAGAATTTTCATTTTGCTTGAAGAAGTACAAGGATCTATGAAAGTCAAGGGACAATTTGTTCAATTTACCATCAAGGAAGCAGCAAGGTGAGTGCAAAAAGGAACTCTTCTATTGTTTTAAGTGCTTGCGCCCAATTTGGGACAGGGGCAGGAACAAATCATGCCTTGTTCTTCCTAATCCCTAGCCTTCAATCATAGTTCATTCTATTTCCACAGGCATTTACGTTGATATTATCTTATTCTAACACTTTCTTCCAATGCCATGGAGCCTTCCAAATTTATCATAATCTGGAAGTATGCATGGGCCCTCAGTTGACTCACTTTGTATTTTTCTAGTTTGTATCTTTCCATGAGGATGCATTTTCGATTTGCCTGTAGATTGTAAACTCTATTTTGTATCTACTACTTGCTCTTACATCTCATAGATGCTGTAGGTATCTTCTGGTGAATGGAATACCTCTTTAATTTCAGGTTTAAAAAAGTCATCTTAATTCAGCAACTCGAGAAGGCGCTTAAAGAAATAGATTCCCCTGGGATCTCAGAAAAGTTAAGCACATGAGAAAAAAATAATTGCGCTAGTGCAAAGACCAAGGAGAAACAAGAACACACGCTGTAGGATGGAACAGGTTATTGCTGAAGCTCCCTGTAATTCTGAAGTGAAGAGAATTACCTTCCAGAAGCTAGGAAAAAAAGATGGAGCTTTTAAAGTTGCATAAATCTCTGTTAGTAAATGCTGTACTTTTGTTGTTTGTTGCTTTGTTCTTCCGCCTGACGAGGGGGATGAGTTAATAACTTACCAAGGTATTTAGTATTACAGTCCTGATTTCTGCAGCAGCTCACGTTTTTGTAGCTGGTATTTATAATTGCCTTCTTTCACTACCCATTTCTCATTCCCTTTGCCCTGAGATAGCATGTCAGCCCATCTTGGTGTTTGGCCAGGCAGGATGACTCAGACCTTCATTACTGAACAGTCTGGACAATTAGATATCCTGCCTGGATAGGGTTACTGTAATTTTTCATTAAGTGTAATCAAAAAAACATGGGAGGACTAAGAAGCTATCTAGACGGAGGAGACATACTCCTTTTTAGCCCCTGGTGTAGTGCAATTAATCCCCCTTTGATCATCAGGTTCATCACCGCCAGGTAGTAGATGATCCCCTCCTTTACCTCTAGATGGAAAGTGATGAAGAGACTAAAGTGGCCAGCAGGCAGTATCAATTTCTTTTCAACGGAATCACTGTTGTGTCCCTTGGCAAAAGCATTTCTTCCTTTCTAACTAAGACTTGTAGTTCAGCAGAGCCTAAAGTCAGAATGATAGGAAGCATTTTTGCTGTTGGACCATTGGCGTGAATAGTGAGTAGAGATACTCCAAGTTATACTCCGTGATTCTAGGACCCATGAATCCTGACTATGGGAGAGAAAGCAAACTATGTTGGATGCAGATAAACAGCAAACACTGCTTCCTAAAAGTAATTTCTCAGACCTCCAAGGATTGCCACCTAGCTAGTACTATAACTGAGATCCACAAGGCCTTTCCATTGTTCTGTTTATCCAGTCACTTTAAGATAATGGGGCACACTTTGGGAGGCTGAGCTGATGTTAAAGACCAGCGTGGGAAATATAGCACCATCTCTAAAAGAAAAAAAAAGAACAAGGGGGGGATAGGAGAACATAAAGAATAAGACCAGTGATTTCCCATGAGCATGGGCCCATTGCTGCACTTTATTTTCTGTGAAGTGAGTGCCTTGTTTAGAGGTGATACTGTGTGGAATACCAGAATGGTAAATAAGCTATTTTTCTAAGTGCACAAGTGTTGATTTTCTTAAAGTACTGTGTGTGAGAAGGAAGATCTGTATTCAGAATAAGTGTCTATTTCTGTAAGAACACAGCCCTGTCCCTTCCATAATGGAAGTGGTCCAATGTAATCACCTGCCATATGGTAGCTGGCTAACTCTGGAGACAAGTGTCACATAAGAGGCTCAGTGTTGCTCTCTGTTTCTGGCAGATTGTACACTCAGCAATGACTATGTTGCAGAATTTTGCTCCTTAATTCAACTAAAACTGAGTTCTTGCCACGTGACCTGGAAAGATTACATTCGCGGACACATCGAAGGACGAGTAGCGGAATTTATTGGGTGAAAAGGAGAAAAAGGAAGGAAAAAAACTCTCAGCAAAGCGAGAGGGAGCCCTACTAGCAGGCCCCCACCTCACAGATTGATTTCAGGCCACCACACAGGAAGTCAAGAGACCAGGCTCCCCACAACCACCCCTGCCCAAGGCGCAAACTTCCTGTGGCTCCACCCCATTCCCCCTGTGCGTATGTGGGCATTCTTAAGAAATACTTAGTTAGGAAATGGCGAGCAAACAGTGGCAGTTCTTCCTCTGGGTCGCTGGTTTCATTCAGGACCAGTAGTCCGATTTTTCAACCTTCATGCCATTTTAGGCTTGAAGGCGGGATTTCGCCAGGGACCCTTGTCTGTCTCATGGCTCTATCAGCTGTAGTCAGGTCGGCCTTGGTGAGTGGAAGTCCGTGCTACTGCAGCGTAATCTCTATCCCTGTCATCTTCATCACTTTGTGAGCCTGTTTGGTTTTGACACAAGTGTGGGAGATAGAGGCTGATTAATGTCTAGATAATAGGTATCTTATCCATCAGATTATTACAGTTCTGCTCTGCTGAGGTTACCCTTTGCTGAGAACTCTCATGAGCCCCAAATATCTTCACATTGAATGTTCAATTGGGCAGGTCTCTCCACATATTTTTCCCCAGACCTCTTTGTCACAAATTTCCAATCATGTGTCCTCAAAGTCCCTGATCATTCAGCTAATAAATGAGACACCGCCTATATATGGATACATACTCATAGGTCTGGCCATCTCTCCTCCACACAGGTGCACTACTCAAAGTTCTTTTCTCTGGGAGGATTTCCCTTCACCACCGTCCTTCAGGGATATCCCAGTTGGGCCTTTTATAATGCAGCTGTTCATTTCTGGCTTGTGTGGTAGGCAGGCATTATGGATGGACTGAATATTTGTGTCCTCTGGGAATTCATACGATGAAACCTTAAATCCCAGTGGGATGATATTTCGAGGTGGACCCTTTTAGGTCCACCTTTTACGTGGATCCTAATTACCTTTGGAAGGTTATTAAGTCTAGATGTGGTCATGATGGTTGGTCCCTATGATGAAATTAGTGCCCGTACAATTAGAGAAAAGAGAATTTCTTCTTTTGCGCCTCTTCAACATGTGAGGATACAGCAAGGTGGATGACTGCAAGCCAGGGAGGGGATGCCTACCAGAGTTTGAGCATGCTGGCACCCTGATCTTGGACATCTAGCCTCCAGAAGCATGAGAAAGAAATGTCTGGTGATGAAGCCACCCAGTCTGTGGTATTCTGTGAGAGCAGCTCAAGCTGACTGAAACAGCTGTAGTCTGTTTCCCAGACTCCCCAGACTCCCATCTCCTGTATACTCAATCAAACACTAATCCAAATACTGCTGTGGTTGAATTTTGCTGGCTAATTAAGGTCTCAAGTCAGTTAACCTTGAGACATGGAGGTGGTGTGGGTGGGCCTGACCCTCACAGGGGAATCCTTGAAAAGCAGAGTATTTTCCTTATAAGGAGCAGAAGAGGTAAGAGAGTCGAAGCACAAGAAGGACGTGACACAGCAGTCCCGCTTCGAGGATAATGCCGTGCTCCTGAGAAGGTATAGGGTGACTCTAGGCATTTAGAGCAGTCCCTGGATGACAACCAGCCAAAAAACAGGAACCACTTTCCTACCACCTTAAGGAACTAGATCTAAATGAGCAATAACGTGTATAAGCTTAGAAGTGGATTATTCCACAGGCTCCACATCAGCACCCAGCCGGCCTGACATTCTGAGTTGGCCTTGGGAGACACTCGGCAGAGAGGCCGGTTGAGGCTTCCTGGTCCTGACTTGCAGAAATGTGGATAATAAATGTGTGTTGTTTTAGGCTGCTCAAATTGGGATAATTTGTTATGTGGCAATAGAAAACTAATACAGTTGCTGCCAGCCCAGTATAAACAAAGACCAGTAAGGAAACCAGCCCTAGGGATTTTTTGATTGTTTGTTTTTGAGACAACTGTTCATAAGGAAGCCCCCTTTGAGCCATAGGCATGGGTTCAGAGAGCTTTTTTTTGTACTAGGCCAAATTTAAAACTAGCAGATTTTCCAGTCATTAGCAGATAAGTCACAGACGCAACGCCAATGAGGTACACGTTACCACCAACAGAACCTAAGGAGACCCACTATTGTTTGTGTCCACTTTGAGTGGCAGGAAGGGTGAGATGTACCAATTTGCTGTTCACCTGTTAAGTGCTATGTTGACATGCCTCTGAGCACTTGACCACTAAATATTTCACTACATTAAAAGGCCCCTGATATTTTTGTGCGAATTGACACTTCGGTTGTCATGTCAGTATGTTACCAGTGTGTCTAGGGAAGTTGCTAGGTCCTGCCAAATCAGCATAATGTCATCAATGAAAAGAAATGGTGTCGTGTGGTGGGACGGAAAGGTGGTCAAGATCCCTAAGGACTAAGTTTATGATGCAGGGTATTTTCTTAACCCCTTCACTCGTGACAGCGGTATCCTGTTTACTCAGCCTGCCATGCTCAACCCCTTATGGGAGGGAGGTCGTGGGCAAATGATTGTGCTAACCAGCCAGACGCTTTGGTACCAGCTGGAGCAAACTCTGTTTCTTTGGGGCCGCCGCACCCCATCCCTCATGAGAGGGAGCATGTAGGCAAGTGAGTGTGGGAACTGGCCAGCTGCTTTGGCACTGGCAGGAACAAACTCCGTGCAGCCCTCATGGCTGCATCCAGGTAAGAATGCCTGCGACCCCAAGGCCCCAGAGGGAATGTTACAATGCTCTCTTAGCTCCACCATCCATGGACAGCAGTGTGTTATCAGCTCAATGAGACCTTTGCCTCATTGTGTGGGGTGGCTGTTCTCTGTCAGCAAGGGCAAAGGGCCAGTGTGACCTCCTTTTTAGGAACCCACACTTGGTGGGTCACAAATTCTTGTCCAGTGCCCAAGAAGAGCGACGTTATGCAGATGAATTGAAGGATGGTGAATGCAGAGATTTTTATTGAGTGATGGAAGTGGCTCTCATCATAGACGGGAGCTGACAAGGGAATGGGAAGGGCAGGTTGCTCTCCCCTGAAGTCAGGTTGCCTCTCTGTCTCTATCCTCTGAAATCAAACTGCCTCTCCCCGACATCCAGCCATCATCTCTGAAGTTAAGTCACCTCTTCCCCACGTCCAGATGCTTCTAATCTCTACTGGCTGACTCTGGGGTCTTTGTAGGCATGGGATTGGGAGTGGGGCAGGCCTTAGGTAGTTTTGGAAAAGGCAACATTCAATTGTTAAAAATACATTATTCAGAAAGAACCAATTGTCAGAGAGTGGCCAAACAGGGATAGAAGTTCTCTGTTACGGGACCCCAAATGGAGGGACCAGCTGGAGCCATGGCAGAAGAACATAAATTGTGACGATTTCATCTTAATATGGACATTTATCAGTTCCCAAATAATACTTTTATAATTTCTTTTG